AGCTGTTATCCTCTGAGCCAAGCGAATTGACATATTATGTGTCCCCGGATTTTAAGATCCCTAATTTATTCGGCAACCAATCTATCGGATATGAATGCCATTGGCAATGCAAATACCCCTTCTTTTCATTCCTATCTTATTGTCATGAGTTTGTACCAGCATAAGCATGCTCAATCTGTCCCACTTACTGAATTGCGCAAAGTAACACACAGAATTCACCATTTAGCTTGGAGTCCTATTGAGATAAGAGAGCACGAAAATTACGGAACGAATACCAACCCCTAATGCTTTAGAGCTCAGTGGCAAGCTAATGCTTCCATATAGCCAACAAATGGCTGCATAATCTTTTAAAGAATTCACTCGGTTGGAATCATAATCACTTTTATGTTGTTTAACGTTATATTAGTCATGCTTCAATTAGACTGACTTCTGGAGAACACGGAGTTCTCCGGTTCCTATGTAAATATAGTAAATGCAGGGAACAGATCGGCTTACCGAGAATGCTACACAATATTTATTCTGTACAACTATTCAGTTGACAAAACATCCCAAATTCTGAACTGCATCGTTCTTCTCAAATGGCCAATATGGATACTGAAAATGAAATTGAGTTAAACCTTGAATTCTACTAGCCTTCCAAATACCATGCAATACTTAGATGTAAAGCGCTTTGAAGAGCAAAGTGCTCTGCTGGCATCATCCACATGTCTTTATTCTTGTTCTTGCTATCCAGATAAACATTTATTTATGAAATAATATGATTAAGTTTTCTAACTACCCCTGGAAATATGGACGATAATAAAGTTACTCAATCTAATCTAACTCAGAATTTCCTGAGGGTATTCACTACCATGTAGGGTTGACTGCCTTCTACACCTGTCAGGTTGACTGCATTGTTGATGCAGCGCAACTAATTCGTATCTACTCATCTTCCGGTTTCAACCTGTGGGTTCGATTACAAAGGGGAGCAAAAATTGTTGACACTCTAACTGAATGGCTAGATTATACTGTTTCTTCAACTGAAGATTGCATGCGAGCATTTGAATTTCGGAGCTTCAGAGTACGCATCCTGCAAACAGTGCAAAGGTGCATTGCTAGATAATATGGATTTCCCCTGCCTCATATCCACATTCCTGTTTAGATCCATTAAAGATGTCAAAAAAGAAAGTCTATAACTTTGTACGTTGCGAATACCTCTATGTAAATGAACAGTGTGTTAAACAAACATCCCTGAAACAACCCAGCGCGTTGATTTTTGCATGTTGCGAGAGGTATAAGTTTTCCGTCTTCCATGCCCCATAGAAGAACAAATTTTTTTCGATTTTTAGAAAATTCTTCCCACTTGTAGGTCCATGCCCCATTTTGCAATACGCCAAATGAGTTTTAAAAAAAGATAAGTTCATCTGTTTAACCGTACACTTACTACCTGGTTAACGAAAACAAAATATATTCGGGTCTGTAGCCTAGCTTGAATGTTCTGTAAACTGAACAAGCATTACTTCTCTCGCCAGCCCCATTCTTTTTTTACACCACAATCATTGTATACAAAAACTGCTAACAAGAGTGGATTTGGCAAAATCAAACATTAGAGCACCGATCACAAAAGTTGTGTAACCGAACCAGGCGGCTATGACTTCTGAATTTCAAGTGGTGTTCAATAATCCGATAATCCAACTCAATCTGAGTACGTCAATCCGCTGACATTCCCGACGGCCCATCGATCTGTGTTTACCTCAGCATGTGCGCTACATTCACGTTTGTTTAGACTGTTCATCACTTGGCTTACTTACACCCGTCCGGAAGGACAAATGTATACATATAATACCAGAGGGAGTGGAACTTCTACTAACGATAGTCATCACGCATGCATGTGTTCACGATGTGGTGGCAGAAATACGTTCATCCGTGGACTTGACCCCGTCTGGTTGAAATTTCGGTCAGTCCATTTAGTGTACCGCAAACACCAGATTGGACAACTGTTCGAGTAGAATTCAAGAAAAGTTTAAGTCTCTACATATACGCCTGTCTATCGGTCGTTTTTGTCTGGAAATTAGGCCAGAATCATCAGTAATATCCACCCACCAACTGGGGTATAGTGGCGTCGGATAGGTTGTCAAGTTCCTACGGGGTGACGAAACTCATTAAATAAATTGCAGCAGATAAGAGGGATGCGGAAGTTTTATTTACAAATTTTTGTTGGTTGGTTTGAGTGGCTTTGTTTCAGACCGGAGTGCTTCGGTATCCAGTGAGAGTATCCTCATGACGATAGTCTTATATCCGTAATCTAAAAAGTCGGCGTTTGGACAAGACGCCAAACCTATTGACATATCAAGCTCCAGTGACCAACATAGTTCAGCTAGACTTAGAAAGTGGCCTTGCTGCTGCAAAGAGAAAGCGGACTGTGTTGCCAACTGAGTGAGTTGATTTATGGTGTCTAGATAGGCCTTTATAACCTAAAGTTGGTTCAAATCTAACGTGTGTTCGATGAGTATGACAAGCCATTGTTGAATAAAACGTGAACGGAGCCCTCTGGTCTCACCAAGACACGTGTTTCCTATCCACACTTGAGGGGAATATTTCAGAAAATAAGCATGACGCAGTAAATGTGAGTTGCTCCGGTTTCCTGGTGTAGGAAATTTATCAAATATCATGTAATGTGTTATCGGGAACCTTGTATGTGGTTTCGTGTCTGAATTATGTGTTCTTTATCACGGAGCTTTTCGCCTCGTCCTTTATTTGTTTCTTCCGGAAAATGGTGCAAAATAAACGGAAGCCATATGAACTGCTTACGCACATCTAACTGCCCGTTTTACGGTTTATTTAGGAGTGGAATGCGACACTTAGGTCCCAAAACCGCTCCAAGATCAGCTACACGCTCAATGACAAGGCCTACGTACGACAGCTACTAAAAACGGGATGAATTAACGAACTTAACCAATCATTACAAGTAATTGTTGCCTGTTATGTTACTGCAGATGGCGGTGCACTATAACTTCGCCTCGTAGTCCCTTTTCAAAATACGGTGGAACTACCCTGTATGCGTCCTTATTCCAACAGCAACAACTCTGTTGTATTGTATCACTTTTACTCAATATGTTCGTACAATAACGGCCGTTTGGAAATCGTGGAAAACGTTCGCCAGTCCAACAGACGTCCCAAAGAGAATCGAACAGCACCTGCAGTCAATGACAATAATTGTATATTTATATGATTAGTCAGCAGTACCGGATGTTGCATTCCCTAGTCCAATGAGGTATTTGTATCGTACTTTGGCTAGCAAATGAACTATCAGGCCGAATATACTAGGCGTCTGCAATGTACAATGAAAGCATCAAAGTAGAATGATATCCGCACTTACGCACCAAGTTTTTGTTGTATATACTGACCCAGAAAGATAGCTTCTGGACGGAATGCTACTTATTAGGTTTCTGAATACACCTCGACAACTCGTGAGTGATTTCACCCTTCTTGAAGATCGCTATTCACGTACAGACCGTGGGCTTCCTTCAGGTTCATGTTATTTATATTTCTGTTTCACTACTGTAATGTGCGATAAATCTCAGCTGTTTGACGATGTCATTAACCTGCCCTAAGTGGTTCATCGCGGACCACAAATACCTGCCAACTTCAACTTTACTATTATCTTAGACTCAGTAATCCCACTGCCGATCTACCGGTAAAAACGTTCAGCTAGGTGTCGCTTGGCCTTCTGTAGATAATCACCCTTGATCATGACAACAGTGGCCTTACCCTTGTCCGCTTTCGTAACAAATGTCTTGTACGTCTGTTTGTGGGTTTTTAACGCTCTCTGTTCTGCTGAGGTAATGTATAGAGCTCCTGTCCCCCAGGGCTTAAGGACTATGACCACTTGTATCCGTAGCTTCCTCGCCTGCGTGGGAAAAGGCTTTTGAATCACACATTCAACGTCAATGATTATATCTTCCACCTTCAGCACCATTTAACTTAGGGCAAAATCCAAGCCCATCTCTAATGGACAGTGATCTTCTTTATCAAGCGGTTCATTTGATAAATTTACCACGCTACAATAGCTAGTAGGCAGCTCACGTTTCGTTACATGCTCACTAGAATAGCGAGTCTTGAAAAGTAACTTTTCGGACTTACGTACTTATCTTTCTTTGCGGTGCTGTCCTTGGCTTTCACTTCTTTTGCTTTGGTTCTGACTAGCTGGTAGTCTGCGGGAGAGAGCACGGCCCGTATATCTTCGTTTAGCCGACATGCGGGGTGACGGATATTACAAAACACCGAGTAGTCAAGTAGTTCCTCTGAGGTATGACTTAGACGCTAAGAATGCTAGGCCGGTAGAAGCGAGTGACATGTCCAGCATCGTGACCAGTAAATATATGGGGAATATCAAATTTTGTTGCACAGGATGTCCCGCAAAACAAGACTCAGCGAAAGCCCTTTAGGCAAGGGGCAATCTTCTTTGAGATTTGTTAACTTTGTTAACTGTCTTTAGATATCAGCATATGATGGGCACACATTTAACTACAATGGCAGAGGTCACTGATACGTTTATGTGTTAGAAGGAACAACGAAGGATGAACAGTGATTTCGAACTGATTTTTTTCATTTATTATGTATTGTGTTGGCTCGCGAGGTGGTGTGCGCTGATGAAACTTCTCATTGAAATGCCTCAAAGAATGAATCTGTTTTGACGTGAGAGGTTTCAGTTATATCAAGGACTTCTACCCTAGCGAATGGTACCACTACGCGGCTTAACAGGTCAAAGTGGGGTAGAGGCTTGTATTCAGGCAAGCAGTTCATCGACAGAAGAAGTCAGACATTAGGTAAATCCAAATGGATTCATAATTTGTTTCAAAGGTTTGGACGAACCTATACGCCACGGTAAACAGTAAGAAGCTCATACGGTTTTGTGCAAACGCTTTGTTCGCCAAGCAATGGGTATTTTCAGATGGATATGTGCTCCTGACATATCTTGAACGATATGTTCTTGATCGGATAGCGCATTTTGACAGATTTATTTTGATTTCCCAGCTTGGTGCATTCCAGACACCCAGTCTATGGTTGATTTCTCGTATTCCAACCAGGATGGAATGGCACCGGTTCCAAATGTCTGTGAAGGCCAAAATGTGGGACTGTGGCATGGATACTGTCAGGAGTGAAAAGGTAGTGAGAATAAAACGTGCGGTTAGTTCACAGAGCGCCCATACGACTAACGGGTTGCGTAAATCGGTCTACTTTTTCTTGATTCCAATTGGTCATTTTGGACAAAGGTGGCTCGAATGGCTGTCGAACTCTCTACTTATCTTTCGATGATGAGATGAAAAATACGGCACTCACATTCGAATTCGAGTGTACTGGCGATTGTGACCTCATTGATCACAAAGACTTGTTTCAATATTTTTTCTGGATAGTAGCTCATATTATTCCGGAAAGTGCCCTGGGACGTTTAGCCCAACATTATTAGAACAACTAGCTTCCTCGTTTGGTGAATAATTAAACAATTTTCTGAAAGTTGTCCGTTGAATTCCATATGACGAAGGCAATCGACCCACTTTCTACTTATCGATAAGCAACTTCTCTAAAATAAGTTTACCGAAAGTCCATGTCAACATAGGTTTTGTCAATCGAAGCTGCCATCGAAGCTGCGAAAGCAGAATTCATATCGTACATTTGCATTCGGAAGAAACATAGTAATGATTCAGTGGAACTTCGATATTTATATCTCATAGTAGCCTAATTCTCCATTTGCTTACCGGATTATTGTAGTTGCACCAGGGAGAGAGTCCACTGTACATTAGTTGGCAAAGTGGTTGTAAAGTCGTTGGATGTGGGTTGTACGGTGGTAAGGGTGATGAACCATCACTGTCTGTAACCGAAATATAGGTCCTTTAGTCAGTTGCTTGCACAAAGGATAAAGAAAAATACGGGTAATAAAATGAAAACAATTGAACAACCTCATAACGTACAAACTAGACTGAGTCTGATTCAACTAGGATCCAGTTGTCCATACCTGGATATGACTGTCCCCGTTGGCTTTCCATGCATTTCTGAGGTGATTTGTCGACAGTCGATGATAGAACCAATATGATTCGTAAATAATACACATCAAACTTCAGTACATGAACCAGTAAACAAAGTTCGGTCACCCCCAGACTTCTTGCCCATCACTAATAGGGGCAATAGCCTGAGATGGGTTGAACGGAAGAAGATGGTGAAACTTAATAAAAACCTTCACCTAACGGTTGGTTCAAATGGATCCTACTGATGGTTAGGCAGTAGGAACTCGGAGGGATTCCGCACAAGATTCCCATCTTGCTAGGTTTCGGAAAACTTTTTCCACCGTTCACGTGACGTTTACCTTCCGCCACATCATCAGTGATATAAATATGTCAATAAATCGCACGCAGTCTGAATGAAGGCGTGCATCCCCTCTTGTACCTAAACAAAACTATGTTCACTACCTGAAATCCTATTTCCGCCTACAATGACCTTGAAATCACACGCACTGTATGACCTGAGATGAGAAAGCACTCGTACGGCATAATATGTGCATGAGATTCCAAACAAAATAGCGGTTCTTCTAAAAACCAAAAGATTAGAAACCTGTCTTGCTGATGAGGGCAAATGAAAGCTATCCATAGTTCATACGTTTTGAAACATACTAGCAACGTGTAGAAAAAACCTATCCTATCGTTGTCACCGTACATCAACCTTCGAATAGGTAGTTGCATCCGTGACCAATATGTGGCGGGAAATTGTCACGGCTTAATTGCGTTGCCAATAAAGCAAACGATTAAACTGCGGTTATAGGTATCTAGAACCGTTTGCAAAGTTCCCGACTACATGTCAGTAATTTCAATGGAAACTCAGGTTTCACCAGTAGCAAGGCTTCACAACAAGCAGATTAAGTGTACCTATATGCGGAAATAATGTTTATTAATTCGTAGGAAAATTTACGTGCGGTTTACCCCTCCGTGGTGAGCATTCGTAATGAGCTACGATAAATGTTATGCAGCGCTTAGAGGCGGAATACCACAACATGCGCTTCTTTGTAAAGCAAATAATTTGATGGGATGCCCAGGTGATTTATCAAGTTGGGAGCCAGAGCGACCGATCATCGTGAAATATTCGGAAGACGGTTAAGGCGCAGGATTACCAACTGGAAGGCTGTTGTCCGTTTCTGTTTAAGTCCGGGTAATCCTGCGATAGCTCAGCCCTTCTACTTTCTTTGAGTTATGTGGAAGATTTTTACCCAAAGGTTCCTATAGATGAAAACATACGGATTTTTTGTTGATTTTATGATGATTAGTTATTATGACGTGATAGACTAGATGTGTGCCATTAAGGAAGTGGAGGAGATTATTGACTAATTGGTTTGGATTCACTTTGAGTCGGACTTCATTTAAACCATAAATTCCCGCCCTTCCAGCGTGAGCTTCTTCACTCGGCACCTCCAGTAGGTTATTTGGTATGCTATCCAGGGTTAAGCAAATAACTTCACGCGTGTCTTGAATGGAGGACAAAGGAAGTCTGACTACAGATCAAGAATATGTGGCTGAGTTCATTCTGAAAAAAGTTGTGGTAGCTTACCGCAAGGGTCCAGCCTGCAAGTAACACACCTAACCAAACAACAACTGCTCGGAAGCATTAATTAGCAGAAAAAGAAAATTAGCATTTTCCGCGTCACTATCGACTGCTTCTTTCCACACAGTAAATTATGCTGATGAACATGACAAAGAGACGGCCGTTTGGTAACTTATTCAGAGACGTTATACCATTCGGAATCCACAGTTAACAATAGTGGGAAACAGCGAAAGTTACTTGCACCGCCATGTGTGGATTATAAGCTGTGGTGAACAATTACCGTTCTTATCGATTTAGTTCCCATCGAAATCGATGAATCTCCATCATAGCCTCCGTTGGATAATCTTACGTTGAACCATGTTGTGCTTAGCGAAATGAATCATTCATTAGCCGCGCATTCGTTGTACACCCCCATTGCGGTTAGCCAGGCCTTTGGTTTTTAGAAAGCGTCGGGTTTTTAATAGTAATTCAGCAACTCATTGACAACAGGGATTTTTTGTAGATGGTATCCTGTATTATATTCCGTCTAATGTGATTGTTGCACTAGTCCCGTTCAAATACTGACCGTTCTTCCCATTTATTTTAAATACATGTCATTTTAGGACTGGTTTCCGGTAGATTATTTCTGACACGCCAGCTGATGTTGTAGCGCACATGTTGATCAAAATCTGTCGGAACGTTACTGTCTGTCCTGCAATGCTTTTCGACAGATTTTATAGCAATGGTGAAGGCAATTTGGCCGGTTGTCTAGACGTCCATCTGAGCGCTTGAAACTGTTTGTCACAAGCGATCAAACGCCTTCTTGCTTCTTGACATTTGTCTCCAGCCTCCTTGGACCAAGGGGCTGAGAAAAAAATGCAAACTTGAAAATTATTTGTTTTTATGACGCATCAGAAACGAACGTTCATAGGGCTGTTCAAAAATCGACGGATTCACTCGCGAATGGTGAGGTACTTTTAACTGGAGATTTATTTTGTTTACATTTAAGATATGACGGAATATTAAACAGGCGTGTAAAATAGTGGAAAGCCTTTTTTAACCGTAATTCAGTAATTCACTGATAACAGAAATTTTTTGTAACTCCTCGAGCCTTGAATTCTCTTTCTACAACCACTAAGTGGCAGGGCGTGTGCTTGTGCCATTAGCACTAACACTTTTGGGGTCTTTCTGAAGTACACGTGAAATTTTCTACGTCGCCAGGGGAAGAGAGAGATTTGGTTTTGTCAGGCAGCTGTGTATGACATATACTTTTCACAAATCCCGGACATTAAGGTATCCGTTTGGAAAAACAAAAGCGCCTTTACTTTTCACTATCACTGGTAGATCGACCAACACAGCAGTAGGCATTGGTAAAACTTACCGTTTAAAAAAGAAAATCAGGGACTTTGTTTTAAAATGAATGCTACTATAGGTAGGGAAACATCTGAACATATTTAAGGATCATACGATTTTTTCTCCGAGTTCTCCCTCAAAAGAGAATAAGCTAATACGACCAATATCAGACTAATCCCCGAAAATTTAAGAAAGCATAACCCAAGCATTCAAGAGCGATTAGTTTGATTCTTTCACACAGCAAGAGTCCTTGCTAGTTGTCGCAACTGAGTAGTTCTACACCACCAAGCGTAGCTTCCTGAAACATTCTGAGACTGATTTTATCCGGTTCACTTTATGAATCATCTCCCTTTCTATGAACGAGATAAAGTCTCAAGGAACACAATACAAACAAGGTTGCTGAAAGCTACCCGTAAAAGAGAGATCCAGCTGGATTCAGTTGAATCTCGCGTTAACCAAGCTAGTATAAAAATAAAGTCGTCTAGCGAGATAAGAGGCAACTGAATTCGGTCTAAACTGAAGAGATAACGAACTCTGTACAGTAGTCTCATCCATGTTGGAAGTCATCAGCTGAGATTGGAGGGTAATAGGACACTCAAAAATTTTTCGAGTGCTTCGTGCTCATGTTCTGAAGCTTAGATGTTTGAAAGTCAACACAAGTCTACGGTGGCCGCAACCTTCATTTTAAAGTTTAATTCCTCTTCACTGACTGAAGGATATGAGCAGTTTGTTCTGGTATACAACTATCCCACAGGGTGCGTGAACCTCTACTCTGAAAAGTGCTCACTAAATGGTCCAGTCACTGTCAGAGTAGGGAACCACAGTAGTAAACGGCGCGAGTTCTGACCTCTCTTTGAGGCAGTAGGAAATAAGTGCTTGTGGTTAGTTTCACCGTAGAGCGCACTTCATCTTCACACAATGTACTCATTTTATTTGCATCAGGGGACTTCCATTTGAAACTTTGGAAATTTCATTAAACTGAAAAGACCGAAAAAAGCTCTTGCGGATTAGGTTTTTAGTTTGTCCAGTAATAAAAATTCCTGGAAACAAATTCAGTCCGGATAAAAATGGAATGGCTCTCATCAGGAGTAAGAACGTTATATTGGTTTTCACGTAAAACCAAAATTTACTCTAGGACTACCAAAATATATTCACTGCACTCACTACTTCGTGACTTTTCAGAAGGCGTTGAGGCTGGAAATTGAGATGTCTCCCATGGGTTATCTGTAGGGGCATGTGGCGGACCGAATTCCTCTACATCACTCGCATCGTCGAATCGTGTCCAGTTCTGGATATGAAGACAGTTGTATACACAAGCATTACGGAATGATAACCCAAAGCAGTTCTTCTCGATTGGTATTCATCTAAGTTAATAAGAACAACAATTACGAAACTGCAATGTGTTTCCCAAGTTATTAGTTTCCATAAACTTTCACGGGACAAAAAAACGGTTGACGATTTCACCAAAACATACTAAAAACAACTTCAATACTGACGAACTTTGCAAACAGTCACTAAAACAAACTCATCAGTTCAATGATTAATGCGATTTTTGACCAAGATCAGTTGACAAAAGCATTTACACTACCGAAAGCCTCACAGAATTATTGTGTCCTAAGAGTGCACAAACATACGCCCAAAAACACACACATAGAGCGTTTCATTATACTGCAATCAGTGAATAACACCTATGCTTCAGGGAGAAAAAAACTGCTGACCATCTGGTACTTGTAACATGACTACATCCTTGATATTGCGTGCATAGTCGGCAAAAATGCTCGGTATGCACTTGGATCGTTTGACAGCTACCACAATTTCAATGCATTCGTAGTAGAGTCATTGTGTGCTATGCCAGTGTGGATCTTAACCGATAGGTGAACCAAGGCAGTCATGCGGTACAAATCACACTTAAGTTGGTAAAACATGTTGTGTCGGCTGAACCACTGAACTGAAAAGAATGAAATCAAATGAATGAATATAGTTCGCTGTAGAGGGGAAACTAAAAAAGGACGGCGCCTCATCGAGGATATGTGCAGTAAATAACAAGTGTTTGAAGGTAGTGAAAAAAGAAAATCTCCAGTTTCGAGGTCGTTCAACTCCTAGCGAGAGTTATGGCAACCAACATTTTACCTGGTGATGTTCTACGCAGTGGAAACAAGTGAGTCTGGATAATTTTGTCAGTGTCTTGACTGCATATTTGCGGATTCGTCCAACTCGACCGCACCGCACAGTATTACTGAGAGATGCTGAGTTGCCGGTTTGTAGGAGAGTCGATAACAAGTAACCGATAAGACGGTCTATTGCAGTGTGATGACCATATGAGTCATTGATAAAAAATCACTCAAAAAATCGAGGTTGACGTTGGAACACTCTGGCTATTGAAGACTTAAAAGGCAATTTTCATGATAAAAATTTAGCACTCACGTCTAATCAAGGAAGCAGCTATCTAGGGCCCTTAAGCAACTGAATTTATATCACTCGTGAGGCCATTCAAACCACGTCTCTGGCTTGCCTTCACATGATTTTCATCCTATGGAGAGACGGTCGTGCGTGTCAAGATTCAAAATAGCTGATCAACCTAGCTTGCGACGATTGCTTGAAGGTCCGATAAAAATAGCCAATGTGGGCATCAAAAATCCACACTAAAGTTGACGTTTATTCAGAGTAACGGGAAGGTGTTAAGTGTTCAGTGAGGTGGCGAGTTTGCGCGCACAAACCAATGGCTCTCAGTCACACAAAGACGATTGCTTGAAGGTCCGATAAAAATAGTCAATGTGGGCATCAAAAATCCACCCTAAAGTTGACGTTTATCCGGAGTAACGGGAAGGTGTTAGGTGTTCAGTGAGGTGGCGAATTTGCGCGCACAAACCAATGGATCTAAGCCACACAAGGTGGCAATCAAACTAGGGCAGGAGAATAACACTATCGAGACTTCTTAGATTTTACTATGAATGACTCCGAATTGATGAAGCAGTTTGTACATGGACTGGTCACTTTAACCAAACTGTACACACATGCAGTGTTTTGTTTAGCTGTATACTGTTTCTTTTGCCGGATAAATGCGATCTCCAATGCCGGTTTTTCAGAAAGTAAGAGAAAGCATGTCAATCAGTTCTCTAAAAAATGGTTATTCGGTGGCTTCGTTTCAAGGAAACTACTACATTCAAGCGCGTATATCCCTATTGTCACTCGTATTGTTCATATATGATGCACCCTTCAAGGTGTTTACCTGAAGACGTTCATCGTTCTAAACAAGAATTCACGCTCTGGAAGACTAAATGTACCATCTATAATCGGAATTCTGGCTGTAAAATCCTCCTACGATTTCCGTCCTACTTTTCTGTTTCACACATTTCTACCTAAAAATATGAAGCACCATGATTAGGATATAAACTAACATCCCACCCGAACATATTTCCGGGACAGAGATAGGTTCTATGCACAAAGACCTGAGGAAAGATGTACAATTCCATTCTTGCGTACGTCGTCCAATATGGATGAGAAAACTAGTTGAATGTGATTGATTTGTTACCCTTGGTGTGC